TAAATTGTTTACTAAAATTGTAGCTGTTTTAATTTTATAATAATATTATAATATTCCACAATATTTATTTAGTTAATGTGTTTATAATGTATTCCAGTGGTTGTTATAGGTCTCATTTCTAAGGTTTAGTAAATAAGATTTATAAGTTTCTGACCCTTATTCTATAAAATTTCTAGTATAAAATATATAAAAAAAACAACATTTTATTTTTGATTTATTTATATTATTTCTTACCAAATCTAAGTGATTACAATTTAATTCTTCTTATTAATTAAGAAACCATTATTTTCTGTTTAGTTTAAAAAAACAAGTAAGGATTTTAATGAATAGGTCTTTTAACAAGCTCTAGAAAGACTTCTAACTAGATTAAAGTATTAAACCTAAATAAACATAAATAGAATATTCAAACTCTATCGATTAAAAGAATCAATTCATAAAGTTCAATGGCTGCATTAATACTAAGACAAATAAGTTTAGCTACTTACCTTCAACGTATAGCAATAAAGTTACAAAGAAAGTTTCATAACAAAACTAGAAAAATAAAAGGAAACGAGCAGAAAGCAAGTTCGTCGTGTCAATCCGTCCTCAAAATAATCTTCATGACTTTGATCATTTGAAAATCTCTTTTCTTAACTTTCTAGTGGTTCATTGCTCTCCAAATTGGCCAATATATATATATATATATATATATATATATATATATATATACATACATACATACATACATATATATATACATACATACATACAAACTAAAAAAAACACTAAAAAATCCCTCCCTCGTAGCGCAAACAAACTCTTCTTTTTATAAGAAAATTGCGACAGTGTTGAGGTTCTATAAAGAAGGTTGACACGCATAGTATCAACTTCTCAACGCTATCTCCTCGTACTCCTCATCAATCAATTTGAGTCCAATTTTTCTCTAAATTTGATCTAATTATGTTCTGTTTCCTCCCAATACTTCATTCATGTAAAATATGTCTTATGTGCTTAAACCTGTCGGAGGCGAATTATCACCCGCCACATGTCTACATTAAAGTTCATCAATCACCTTAATGAAGAGAAGATTCATATGAGTATTTTTCTTCGAATAACTTTAGGCAACTTGGCAGTAAAAATTGAGTCGAGCCAT